AGAAAACCCTTGGACATGTGGAATTGCAAGGCAGGTGTTCTGGAGAGCCTTGAGCCTGTGGGAGGAAAGCAGATTGACTAAACCAACTCATCCTGAAGGAAGGCAAAGCATTCACTTCATCCTCATGAAGAAATGAAAGCTCAGGCTTTCAAATGAGATGTAAAATACAGCCCTGACCATTCATCGTCATTAAAGATCCCATGATAATTCCTGCAAGAGTAAAAATGTTAACTAACATGTCCTGGCCAATATCCAACTCGGATAATTGCATTCTGCTTCCTAAATCCCCCTTGCAGTTTCAATTGGATTGATTTTTCTTCATTTCTCTTCCCTAAACCCCTCCTGCATAATGTTTCCATCCCGGAATGGCTGCTGTATTCCACTCCAGAGGTGCGTGAATTATCAGTGCTGGGCAATCCCAACATACATTTTGGATATATTAGTCAGGCAAAACACTCTCTGAGCTGGAGTAATACCCTCACCTCTCACTGAGGAGCATTTAACTTTTCAAATGAGAAATCCCTCTGATGTTAGGCAGATTTATTTTTTTCTCTAAAATATTGCCCTGCGAGGAATGGTACCAAACCAGCCTCCTGCCAATTAGAAAAGTCTTTGCTGGGCCATATCCTCAGCCTAAGGAAACAGCTGCAGTTGCTTTGACTTCAATAGAACCCTGCTTCATTAAAACAGGAGTAAATATTCACACAGTGTTTTTCCACTAAGTCACTCATGTTTAAATGTTGGAAGAATCAAAGGAGTTGGCTGTTGAATGCATCAATCTGTGGATATAAAAGAGGAATATCGGAATGCATTCTCCTCCCTTTTAACTGGCTTGCACAATCTTCATGCTATTTTAAAGGGAAGTTGGAGGTTCTTTAACTTGGCATACTGATGAAAAATGAAAGCACTGTGAAATAGGAATCTCCTGTTGTTTGTTAGGTGTATTCTACTGTAAGTACTCACAATATTGTGGAGGCAAACTGAAAAGTCCTGACCCAGTGCATTTTTTGAAACAGGAGGAGCAAAGGTGATTTATGTGCATAAAAGCAAAAACTGACAAGCCTTTGATTTTCTTGCAGAACAATCCCAAAACGATTGTCAAGACTGCTTAGGATTTTTGCCCTCTGCACTTCCTGTAATAGGACCATTTTATCCAACATGCTGTTTTATAGACACTGTGTATAGGGTCATTTCCACCTGCTATTCAGGTTACTCAAAAGAATACTTCTCATTCCCTCTTCCAAGAGCTTCTAGCAGCAGTTAATATCAGCTTGTTTTCACTTCCAGCCTGCTTTTGCATCTCTGGTAAAGCATAAAATCACAAACATGCCACTTGCTTCCTTCTTTAGAGTTCTGATAGCAGAAAGATATCCTTTAAATCCAAGAGAGGAGTTATAGGCAGATAAATGGGGAGCACAGGGAATATATCCATTTTGGTACTTTCTCAGTATCAGAACCCTCGTCCTTTGCCCCTCGTAGAGGAAAGCATCCCTATCTGCCAGCTCCAGGCTGGGCTGGCTGCAACATCATGCTTACTTCCCTACACAAAGTGTGAAATAGGGTGATGGAAGACCTCCAACAGCATCCTACTTCAACAGCAAACACTCCTAGTGCTTGGGTATGGAATTGAGTGGTAAAATTAAAGGTTGGTACCAGACCGTGAATACCAGGCACAAGCATGACTTTGGCTCATCTGATGAGCACAGATGGATCTGCAAAGGGATTTTATGTCAGAGTCAGATGGTTAGAGAAGCACAAACCATGTTCCTGATCTGCAGCACACACACAAGTTCAGTAAGGGGAGAGCTGAACTTCAGAAGTGATTGACTCACATTCCCTGCTGCTCATGTACTGCCAGTCTTCACTCCAGCTCAGCTCCTTTTGCACACAGTACCTGACATCTACATGGGAAATGATTCCCAAGGGTTTTGCTCCAATGGAGAAATGGGTTTGACCAGGAGAACACTGATGTTGCATCTTTACAATAAGTAGTGTTCCAGATAACCTGGCACTTAGAACAAGCACAGGATGGAAAGCTTAGTCCTCTCACTGAAATCTAATTTCAAAGCACACAACTGTTCATCAATGGCCTCAGTTTCATGAACAACCTGAAAAAAAGACTGGAGTAGGATGTCTCCTTCAGCCACTCCTTCCTCCCCACTTTAATTTCTTTGTAAGACTACTCTATGTGGAGTGGAAATGTTCTCTGAATCGATAAAAAATTAGCATGAGTACAGGAACAGAAGCTTGGGATTAGGGAGATCTAAAAATGGATGGATTTCCCTACACTTCTCTCTGCATCTTAAAGAACCCTTCCAAGACCTGGTTGTAAACGTTTTAATTCTCTGTCAGCTTTCTGGAGGAAATCATTACAGGGGCAGGATCACAGAGCACTGGGTGCCACTCTGCAATAGGTGTCTGTCAGTCAAACAGGCGTCAGCCCACACGTCACCCCGAGCACTTCCAGCCTCCAATCCAGGAAAAGGGTGCTGGAAACGGAGAGCTTGCTTGGAGAGTTGCTTGGAGCACTGCTTGAGTGATCAGGCCAAGACTGTAATCAGCCAGTCATTGGAGCGATAGCTTAATTTTTTATTTATTATTTAAAACAAACACAATTATTCTCTCTCCCAGCTCTGGTTCAAGCAGTTTATACATTTAATTCAATTTTAAGAGCTATGTGTTTGTTTACTAGAGCAAACAAAAACCAGTAATTAAGAGCTGCAGTTAGAGAGAAGAACGAACCTGCTTGTCTTTGGCTCAAAATTAAATTTTTAGCACCAAATATTGACATTAGGAGGTAAGCAGCTTAGTTCCATGTCTGCTTTTCACACCTCCCAAGTACGCACCGGCATCACTGAAGGAGACGTGCTGACCTACACTTTCAGCATTACATCCCAAAGAAACCATGTAAAACCTGGTGAGGTTCCTCAGAATAAACCTTAATCTCTCAATTTGCCAATATCATCAGCCTCAGGAATCTTCCTTCCCTTTTGTCTCTAGTTTTCCTTGCCTTCATTCCTTGCAGCATCAGAGATAGAGTAAACCATACATGGAAGAGAATGATGGTATCAGGTACTACTGCACTATACTTGGTCAAGGAAAGATATTCTAGCTGGAGACCTCCCTGCCAATTAAAGGAAGAAGGAAGGAAGCAAAAAGAAAAAAAAGACAGAAAAAATACCAGAAGAACCTGTTGGGGGGGGGGGGGGGGAAGACAAATTATTGCATTAAAAATAAAGCCTTGGGTTTGGAGCTTTGCTTCTTTAGATTTTGGGTTTAGATTTATCATCTCCATGAATATCTACAAGCAGTTTAACATCAATTAAAAATGCACAATCCGTTCAGCCCAGATTCCTTAAATCCAACACAATTACTTCCCAAAGAACTACTGAAGTCTACTGAAAACGTAGCTGCAGCATTAGAGGGTTATTTGCTACAAGGACCTTTTTAATATGGCTGTATTGTAATACTGCAGTGCAAGAGCCTCTTCAGCCATAAAAAGAAATTTAGCTCAGAAACACAACTTGTGGGCAATGAAAAACACATTTGCTTCCATTTGCCATCATTTAATAATAGCATTATTTAACAAGATCAGTTAAAACGACCAGCCTCACAAGGCACAGCAGTGCACTTCTTCTCACGAGACTCCGAGGGCACCAAAAAGAAATTCATTTCTGCAAACCAAACAGTCAAAGCAACCAGCAGCACTGGAAAGACCATATTTAAAAAGGGAGAAAAACATTTTGTGACTGACCAGGAAAGAAATAGCTCCTCTCTATATCCACACACACACACACATTTTACTTTAAAGCTGCAAGGAAAATAATAGTCTTCCACTGGAAGTAAAAACATATTTGTCATTACACTTTGATTTTTCACTCAAAATCGAGAACACCCTGAATTTGCACACATGGGGAAACAGCTACGAAGATCTGGGTGTATTCTGTAACACATCAGTAGTCAAACCCATATATCCTGGCATAATTATTTTCCTACAAGGTTATGCCTAATTGGCCACTAACCTCACTGATTAATCATCTCCACTACAAGAAGGCGTTGAGAAAAAGGCAGAAGGGCAACAAAATATTTATTCGGGCTGCAAATATTAAACCAAGAAGGGACAGCTGGTTCAAGTTGCTCCTTCCCGGCTGGCACGCAGAGGTGGATGGCGAGAAAACCCTGATCGAGTCACACACACAGAGAAATAAGAAAGGAAGCGGTGTCTCACGTTCATTCGCAGCACGGAGATGCTCAGTACGGCTCTAAGTTGGCTGTGCGCGGCTCTGGAAGTGTTAAATCCTCCCGCACGGCCCCGCACCGCGGTTCCTGCCGCTCGCATCCCCGCCCGCCCGTCCGTCCCGGCCGGCAGCGAGGCGGCCCCGCGCTGCCCGGGCATCCCTCCCCGCCTCCTCGCCGGCTCCGCCGCGCCAGCGCCTCCCTCCCGGCGGACAAACTTTGCGCCCAACTCCGCTCGGCTCCGCGGGGCGCTGCCGGGACCCGCTCCGCGCACGGCGGTGGCGGCGGGCGGGCGGCTCCCCCCGCGGATCCCGCCGCCTCCTCCTACCTGCAGCCGGCGCCGCTCCCCGCAGCGCCCCGCTCATCCTCCTCCTCCTCCTCCTGCTGCTGCTCCCGAGGCGGCGGGCGGGCTGCGCGCCCCGCTCCCTGGCTGGCTGCGCCGCGCTGCTGGCGCGGAGCCTGCGCGGGCGGAGGCGGCTCCGGGCCCGCGGTGGCGGCGCCGGTCCCCTGCAGCCCCCTCGCTACCGCATCCCCCCAGTCGCGGGGAACGGGAGCCCCCCCGCCCCGCCCGGCCCGCGGGCAGGGGGCGGTGCCCGCCGGCAACCCCCCCTCTGGCAGCCCCGGCCCCCCCCGGGCAGCAGCGCCGGTCCCGAATTCCCTCTGTCTCCCTCCTTCCTCCTCCGCTCACTCCGTGCTCGGGGACGCGGCTCCCAACCCGCTGCCTGCCCGCGCTCTGCCCAAACCCCACCGACCCCCGGCGGCACCTCTCTCGTGGCTCCTCTCACCGCTCCCGGCTGCCGGCTCTTCCTTCTGCCCTTCCTTCCTTCGGGAGACGGCTGAAGAAAGTCCTCCCAGCGCAGGGGGGGTGGTAGCGGGGCTGCGCTGGCCATCACTCCCGGCTCCGTGGCAAAGAGGGCTGCAGCCAAAAGCTGCCCGTGGGGCGTGGGACCCCCGAGCCCTCGCCCAGCACCATCCCTCTCCAGCCGTGAGCAGGCAACAGGCAGCAGCTGGGAAGATTCACGTGCGGTTGGGCAGCGGAGGTTGGTCGCTCAGATCCGGTGTAGACACCAAGAGGCATTCTGGGCCCAGTGGGATTTGGCATCGCCCTTCCTTCCCATGCTGACTTCTTTTCCTCGGGATTCTGCCTGGTTGTCCCACAGGAGGTTTCCTTCCTGGCTGCTGTCTCCCCTGTGCAGGAAGGTGTCTGCTCTTGCTGCTTGGAAATGGACTTTGAAGGCAGAAATACTTTTGAGTGACAGCTTGTAGCCACGATAGATCCAACTTCCCTTGCTGTTCACAGGTGGATGTTGAGTGTTTCTCTGGGAAGATCTGGCCTGACCCAGCTCCGTCAATAGGGACTGGCCTACTGGGCAGTGCTCAGGAAGGAGAAGCACCGCCTGTGCACAGATATATTTCTTGCTCTTCTTGTCCACTCCTTCAATGGGATGTCACCAAACAGCAAAATTAATCCCTGGCAAGGAAGAAATTCATGTGTGAGCTCACAAACCACAGCAGTGAGACAGCGATTAAAGTTTGTCTAATTCTAGGAGATCAAGCTTGTAATAGCTAGAGAATGAGACTTAAGCTGCTTTACATATTCCTTCATATGTAAGATCATTAGGGCATCTGTGGTTACTGTACCTCATGGGAGAGGGAGCCTTGCTGGGGGTGTTGATAGTTGTGAAATTTGGTGACTACGGGCATGTGCCACATGACAGGGTGTTAACCTTTTGTCAGTGTGACCTGACACGTTTGACTAAACCACCTTCCCTGGCCCCAATCTCTTACCTGCTCTCCCGTGTCACATATTTATTACAGGAGTAACAGCTCTTCCTGCTTAATGGGCTTCTTTGATGCAAACCTGGGGCTGTTCGGCAATGGCTGCCTCAGACATTTTGTTATCCTTAAATCACGGGTGATAAAAGATGAATAAAGCTGTCAAACACCCTATTGATTATGTGATTGAGATGTACCCTTATTGCACTTCTTATGTTGAGTTCCTTCCATTCTCTCTCTTTCCTGGGGGTTGGGTGAGGATGGGGGGAGGAACCAGACCTACAAAACAGCACTGAACGTGCAGTCTGTCAGACCAATCTGCTCCCACCCACCACATCTCTGTGAGGAATACAACTCTTGGCAAAAATATAGGTCAAATCTCAAGCCCTGCATCCTTCTGGTGTTAAATTATGGTGTCTCTGACTTCGAGGCCCCAGCAGTTTTCTTCTTGCCTGGTTTTGGAGGGAGGAGTTTCATAGAAAATCTTCCAAGTTCACATGTCGATTGGATAAAGCCACAGTTGTGGGCTTGCGGTTCGGGTATCAAGCAGGATGTGAGAGATAGGGGTTAGTTCCAGCTCCAGTACAGATTCCTCCCTGTATTTAGCAAAAATACTTGCCAAAGACAGGCAGGATGCTCAGTTGGGTTGAAGAGCTTGCTGTTGGTGTGATTAACACCCTGAGCTTTGGGAACACCCTCAACTTGCACAGAAAGGGCATAACGATGTGTGTCTGTACCCAGAGCATCGATGCACAAATGCTTCTCTGCAAACCCCTCCTCACAAAGAGACACGCTGAAAGAGATCTATATGCAAGGGATATTAATTTCCATTCCTTAAACACAGATGTCTGAGCAGAAAAGCCGCATAAGTGCCTCTGAATAAGAGCATGCTGGAGTGCTCCCACAGAGCTGTCGGAGCTCCAGTGCCTCGGAGTCAGCTGGGAAGCAGAGTGCCACAAACAGCTGGGCAAGCACAGGAGCAAGCCCCGGGAGAGGGAGCGGGAGCGAAGATGCTGCAGTGCACAACTGCAGTGAGGGACTGATTATACTCGTCTCAGAAGAGGCAGAGTTTGAAATGGAAATGAGGAGGAGATTTCCCTGCCACGCTACCCAGCAGCTACAGCAGACGCTGCTCTGAGACAACAGGGAAGCAGGGAGCACGCTGAGGGGACTTTTGTTTCACCATTATTCAGCTCATCCCAGAGCTCTCATTTAATTGTTACTCAAAAAGTTTCATACAGGAATGAAACATTAACAAAAAACTACTTCTGCCTTCACATCTTAACATTGATATTGAGGTCTCCCTGCATGTGGAGACTTCAGCTTGTGTACTCAAAGCAGAGCAAATTAGCAGTTCTTTACACAAGTCTCATCATTATGGGTTTGGAAACAAAATACCCCTGCAGTGCAATGGAAAGGGCTCCAGAGCCAGGAATTCCAAAGGCCTCATATCTGAGCTGCAGTCAGTACATTGCTTCATAGAGTCATAGAATCACAGAATGGTTTGGGTTGGAAGAGACCTTAAAGATCATCTCATTCCAAGCCTCTGCCCTGGGCAGGGATGCCACTCGCTACATCAGGTTGCTCAAAGCCCCATGAGGTGTCTGAGAATGCCTCAGGTCATAGCAACTACTCAGTCCAAAATTCCCATGAGGCAACCAAACCCACCTTCACTGACGTACTTCAGTTCTCCCCCAAACCTTCAAAACTTCCAAACACAGAACTTCCAGGTGAGAATCAATGCAAACAGCTCATGAACTTCTGCCTCTGCCCAAAAAAGTATTTTGATTTGTCTTGTCATCATCCTTCATTGCAGCTTGGGGATCTCTTCCTTCTTTGTTATGATTTTAGGAAACTCCTGGCTTTCTCAGGCAGGAGATGCATCTTCTAATGGCACCTGAAAAAAACCCAAACAAATAAACAAAACAAAAAAAAAAAAAAAAAAAAAAAAAAAAAAAAAAAAAAAAAAAAAAAAAAAAAAAAAAAAGAAACCTCAGGTCTCTGTTTTAGCCATGACAGAATTACTTATCAAATGCATGCCAAAGAATACCACAAGTCTCCATGTAGAGATAAATGTTCTGAATTTTATACTGCAACACCTTTACTTTAGCACTTGCCATCCATGGATCTCATGGAGCTTAATACAGGTGTCATTACCCCCAGTAATTGTCTGGCCCCCGTTGCCAGACAGTTGGAGTGGGGCAGCTGCTGCTTGACCAGTGGCACTGTCTGGCAGTGGATCAGGTAGCATGGCTTGACTTTGCATTTTTCAGACACATACAGGCACATGCAGAGACACATATAGTGAGTTAAAAGGGAGTCCTGAGATACTTCCCAATCAAATGCATTACATCACTGGAGAATCCACTACATACACTGAACTCCAATCTTTGGATTAATATTCAGGAGTAAATATTAATCTGGATCTACATCTACAATATACACACTCACACCCTTCATCCACTGAAAGAATAACTTAGTATTTTTATGTAGCAGTCACCTCCAAAAATACTACTCTCCAAGGTAAAAGTGAAGAAAAAAAATATTAATAGAAACTGCACTGTTTCTTCCCTAAAATATATCCCTTCATATGATTTCTCAAGTGGAAAAAACAGAAGATCTCTTGTGACTGCCTTGTGTTCCCTTTCTAAAGCATTTGAGAGATCAAACTTCAATAGTTTAAATGAATTTTAAAAATTACCTTAAAAATGAGATTCACATTGCCTAATGTTATGTCTGGACATATTTATACCAGTAGCAATACTGTAGCTATTGAGGATAAAAAACCTAATACACATTTCTCCAGTCACAAATAAACTAATTTCTAAAACCAGCTCTTTCCAGGCTAGAGTTTATATTCTATTCATAAAAATAGAAGGATGGTGGCTTGAGGGGAATTCATGCTTAAAACTGATTTAACAATAAATTAGTGCAAAACATACATAATGTGTGTAGGGCTGCTTTACAGAAATGAAGATGCTAAATTCAGCCAAGGAATTATTTGCTGTGAATTATTCACTTAGTCCTGTCGGTTCCTGAACCTTTATGAAGGTTCTGTGGAAAGCAAGGGGGAAAAAAAATCAAGCATATGCAAAGCAAAACATCATCAAAAGTCAAAGAAGTCTCCAAGGGAGATGAACTTCAATGCCACAGTAGGGTAAACAAATGGAATTATTTACAATATAACATTATCGTTGCAATGATATTTTATTCATTATTTAGTCCCACACTGAGTCTCCCTTGTAGCCTGTGGTAGACAACCCAGGCATTTTGTTCCATCTTTCACCTACCACGTCTGTATATAAATGATATAGTTTATTTAATATTTGTATACATCACACAAGCTACTGTCTCCTGCCTGTTTAAAACGTATCTGTTTCCCTCCACCTGCTCACGGGGCTACAGAGATCTCTGATATTTCCTGCAACTGGGCCTTAGTTTCACTGTCTGTTGCTATTTTTCTTGAAGATGCCTGATATTCAAGCTCAGTTTCAAGAATCTCTTGGTTTCCTTCACAATTTGCATAACCACGTGTCAAATGAGTGCTAATCTTAAGCACCTCTTGGTTTAATCCCCTAATTTGAGGGGGGACAAGGCAGGGGTGGCTCTGCTCAGCAATGGAAATCAGCCAGCGGTGGATACTCCAGGATTAACGTAATCCAACTGCTACAACTATTCAATTTGGAGACTAAGGACGATAAAACCTATTTTCCCAGTCAATCAATCATTGTGATCGACTTGCAAAAAAATCAGTGAAAGTTAATGAAATCAGCAGAATTATGTCAAATGACACTGCTGAGAAGGCCTTGTGTTAGAAACATCCCACTATTGCTGGGAAGGGAAGTCAACAAATTACAAGAATCCTTGTAATTAAGAGCTTATCAAAGCACTTTATCCCATCAAGCACTACCTTACAGATACCAGGTATTGCTTTTCTTAACACTTAAGGAAATTAAGAGCAATGAGGATGCTTGAAACATCACAAGGCACTCGGAGCGAGCTGGGAGCGGAAGGTGACACATCACTGTACCTCCTCAGTGATTAAGGAGGTTACCCAGGGAAACAGGAGAAAAAGAGTCATTGCTGGCTGAAGCTGATCCCTGGTCTGCTGTCACTGCCAGTTCCATCTGTGAGCAAATCCAACTAAAAGACTTCTGAGCTTCCTTCCTAACTTCTTCTGCATGATCCCACCACCAGCCCTACGAGAACAATTACATGCTCCATCTCCTTTCCTTCCTATTGGATTGTCTCAAATAATAAAGGTGTTTGCAAATATTGTCTCACTAAAAACAAAGACCTTCAGCTGGTGATTGCTGCAAATGAGGATTTTGCACTGGAAGAGTGAGCAAAACCTCAGTAACAAATGCAAACCTACAGGCTGTGAACAACCCTCTGTCGCATTCCGGGGCGTGTCGTGCTCACTTTGACTTAACTTGCCAAACTCACTTGATCCCAGTTCTCCGTGCAGCCTAATTAAAACAGGATTGGCTTCATTTACTGTAAGTGATTTCTTAATAGCTGATTCACATTCCCCTAATAACCCATCCCCACCTTCCTCATCCAGGGTGTGCAACTGAGACTTTAACACAGACTCTGACACTGACAAATGCCTCTTTTTGATCACCTGAGGTTGTGTGAATCTATCACACACACATCAAAATCAAACACAACATAAGGGAAGCATTAATTAAACCATATCAAACAAACACCTGACAAGTCTATGATTTAAGTATAAAACAGCCAGAAGAATTGTGAGTCAATACTTTAGTTCGTAACCCACTTTTTATATCATTGTACAGAACTAAAGAAAACTGGAACACTTCCCCCCCACACCTCCTTCATCTGTGTTATTTTATCTTTCAACTCGAGCTGGAAAGTCTGTCTCAGCATCGCCCATGAAAAAAGGTGACATAAATTGCTCAGAGAGTTGAAAGAGAAGAAAAGCTTGTAAACAAGTTTCCTATTCTCATACCTTGTTCCCTAATTCCAAAGAGAGAAACAGCAGCACATCTTGCAGAGGATGCCGTTTCTTCTCCTTCAGCTCAAAGTCTGTGAATTGCTCTGTGCAACACCTATGAAGGTTCCCTAAAATTCTCTATAAAGATTATCCTAGATCAACAGAATAGTCCAAGAAGCCAGTAGGCTTGGGGTGACTTACCAAAGCCTTACTATGGATGTAAATCTGGTACAAAAGCAAATGCTTTGGACTAGAAGTCTTTAGATTAAAAACCCTTTTGAGATTTCTGATACTCCCTGCTCCAAGTTCAGCTAGAAGACGGAAGTTTAGGGGGTCTTGAGATGTACAAAGAATAAAAATTAAACAAATCTTCACAGCTGAATACATGTATCTGTCATTAATCACATAACCACTCCTAAGGTCCATCATGGAGGAGGCAGCTGTAGGCAGGAGCTGAAAGATGTGTGGTACAACAGAGGAAACTGCAGTAAAAGTGTCCCAGAAATGCTCCAGGGCCAGCACTCTGTGGGCACACGGTGCCTCCTGTGTTAATCTGTTAAGTGCTTTCCAGCCTTTCTGCCATCCTTTAATGTCACAAAGGCTCATTAGAATATTGCAAAGGCCAGTCTGGCCTGACATTTGACGCCAGGGGAGGTCAGGAACACAACCTCTGAGCTGGAGCCTGTTGGGAGGGCAACGCTAACTTTCCTTTAACGCCTTGCAATTCCCTTTTTTCCTTGGCTCTGGGTATATCCTCTTTCTTCCTCTTAATTTCAGAGTAGGCTTTTTTCCTTTTTACACCTCTGTGTACAACTCTCCTCTGTTTGCTTCTCTGACTTCACACAAAGAGAGCAAAATAGTGCCTTTGTTATCACTGGGAATTCATCATTTCCACTTTTTTGATAAAAGTAGCTACTCTGACTATCTCATATTTCCACTCATGTATCACTGGCACCCAAAACTCAGCTGAGTCTTGCCACTGTGAAAAGATGATCTTAAACAAGAATAAGATGCAAAATCTTTCCCAACAGTGGAAAGAACCTTCCCTGGAAACCTCCAGCATTTGCTGCAAGCACTGAGCAAGGCTGTTTGCTCACTTTGTAATCTTCTGCAGTAGCCACAGTCTGAGGCCTTTGCAATTCTTCAGTTTTATGATGAGTTTACTACCAAGTGATCTTCAACGTGCTGCTCCGCGCTCGGATGTGACAGGGAATGGAATTTCACTCACAGCAAGATTATTATTATTATTGAGCTGGATACATCTGAAGGAGCACAAATGTCACACCACTGCTCCCATACATCACTTCCCCTTCTTTGCCATCTGCTTCTGGAGTTGTCAGTCAAAGCAGTTTCAGCATTTCCCGTTATTGTCTTCAAGTTTGCTTCTGCCAACCCAGTTTAATTTCACATTTGCAGCATCGTGTTACCCAGCATGCAAATTAGTGACGTTTCTGTGTGTCATTTATCTTACTCCTCCCTTCCTCCAAAATGTGTGCTTTTGGAAATTTGATGTTCATTACTCTTTTTGACAGATCCTGGTACAGCTTGAAAATGTTCCACAAGACTTATCTGCATTGGCCACATCAATTTATCAGATTAATTTAACTTCTTTGAGGAAGCTTTCAGTGACAATCAGCTCTAGTGTGTCCACAAAAGTAATTCTAAATGTAGAAATGTTAATTAAGATCTAAAGTTCTGATTTGCTTTATTGTCAAGATAAGGACAGCTCTGAAATTCAGTTCTGTTTGGCTTCCAGGAGCCCAAGAAGTTCAGACGTCCCAGAAGCAGAAGGTCGTCTCAAAATCCTCTTT